CGAGTGGCATAAATGACCCAGAAGAAACGCCACCAAACAGTCATCAGCGCGCAGCCCAGCAGAGCTGCGCTCACGGCCTTCAAGCCAAACAGCTTGCGTTCGTCGCAGGTGGGCTCAGTGGCCCAGGTGAGGAAGTTCACCACGTCTTTCGACTGCGGGCCAGCGCACACGCAGCAGGCAGCAGCTAGCGACACTTTCTCTAGAAAGCAAAAAAAAAAAAATAACACAAAGGAAAAATGCATGCACAACACCAAATTTACAAATAAAGCTGCAGCTCCCTTCATTAACACCGCCGCCCGCGGCCCCTCAGCCCCGTGGAAACGCCGCAGTGCCCAGCCCGCAGCCAGCCTCTGAGCAGCTGGGCTACAGCAGCTGCTGCCTGCATCTGCTTCGCTGCAAATGCTTTCTGAAGAACCTCACCATCTGGGAAACGTTGCAGGGAGTGCCGTCTTCGTATTCAATCATTTCGTCCTGCAGCGGCGGAGCCATGGCAATGGCGTTTCCCGGAAACCACACGTTCCAGTACAACCCAGGGCGCAGCTCGACGCCCATGGGCGGCTCGTGGTAGCCGTTCAGCAAAGCCATGATGTAGTCGGGCCCGTGCATGCGGGCGCCGGTGATCAGCGAGAGGTCTGGGGGATAGGCGCCGTTGTTGGCGAAACGCGCAGCTGCAGGCCGCACAGCAAGCGGGCTCCAGCAGGGGCCATCAGCACAGCTTTCCCATGGAAAGTGCTGCAATAGCCAAGAAACTAGGCATGCAGGAAGCTTTGGAAAAGGGAAAAGGAAGAAGCCAAGAACGCTGCAATACTCGAGAAAACTGGGTAAAGTGCACGCAAAAATCTTCCTAAAAATGAAAAAGAAGCTAAAAGCGCTGCAACACTCAAGAAACTGGGCGATATGCACGCAGAAAGCTTCAGAAAACGGAAAAAGAAGCAATAGGCTGCGCCTGCAGGTGGCCGGCAGCTGCTGCTGCAACACGCAGCTGCTGCTGCAACACGCAGCTGCTGCTGCAACACGCAGCCACTGCTGCCTACCCTCCTCGTTGGGATACGGCTTGGGAAAGGCGTCGCCAGCCACGCCCGGCCTCGTGTACATTTCGCCGCTGTCGTTGGGGCCGTCCTCGACGTCGTACTCTGCAGCAATTTGCTTCACCCGCAGCTCCGGCAGCACTTCTCCCACGAGGTGGCGAAAGTGCAGCTGCTCCATGGAGTGGCACGTGGAGCACACCTGCGCAGCAGCAGCAAGACGCAGCAAGCCGCAGCAGCCCCGCACCACCTTGGACTCCAGTCACGCCCAAGGCGGGGGCAGCAGCAGCAGCAGCTGCTGCTGCTGTAGCAGCTGCAGCAGCTCAAGCCGAAATAGGCTCTGATGGCAAGCACTGCTGCTGCTGGCGGGAAGCGGGCTGGTGCTGCAGCAGCTACCTTTCTGTAGACTTCGTAGCCGCGACGGACGGACGGGATGTCGTGGGAGTGGAAAATAGATTTAAACCAAAAAGGATAATGCGGGGGCCTCGGGGGCTCCTTCTCGAGGCACCAGCAGACGGGGCGGCGCTGGTAGAAGCAGTCGTGCACGAAGGAAGCGCCCAGAGCCACAGCCAAGTAAAAGCCCAAGCTGCAAAGCCACAGAAGAACACACTGGGACTCAGCAGCTCCTAGGCGGCTCCGGGATTTAAAATAAACAATAAATCAAAATAATAAAAACAAAAGAGCTGCATAGACGAGCACGCAGTCAAGCTGAACCGAACTTGCAATCGGAGGCGAAGGTTAAGCATGGGTGACCGCTGCTGGCGTTTTGGACATAATGCTCGGAGTCCAAGTACACTTATAGGCGCAAATGGTCCAAATAAAACGAATATGACCAGAATATATGATTTAGTTTCGTGTTTCCATGCAATAAATGAGCCGTTACCTCTGGTACTTGTAGCGCTGGCGCGTTTCCTGCTCCTCCTCCGTGTAGGGCTCGAAAGGGCGAGCTAAGCGGCTCTGTGCGTGTTTGTCGGGAATATAAAAGTCCGCGCCTTCCACCAAAGTCCCCCTAGCTTTCTGCCGCTTGTAGTCAACGGCAGGAAGGCTGTACTTCTCATCGGGGCGCAGCGGGTCCAGCACCGTTTTGCTGTAGGTTTGCAGCCGCTGGTTGAACACCACGCACTGCGCGTAGACCTGCCTCTCGTAAGTCGTGTTCCAGTGACGCACCAGCCGCTCCCGCCACTGCAGAAGACACATACAAATGCATGCCTGAACATGCCTGCAGCTGCTGGTGCAGCTGAGAGCAACAGAAACGCCGGCCCAAGAAACTTGAACTGGAGCCGGCGCGCGCCCTGGGAGCACTGTGCGCCGTCTGGGACGTTCGTAAGACGCTTCTGCCCATTTCACTGTAATTTTGGGCTGGTAGAGGGCTAGCAGGTGGTTACAGCAGTCGCAGCTTCGCCAGAGATGCGTCGGTTCCACCGCTGCTGCAGCGCATTTCAACTACAGTTTCCGGGGCGCCGTGAGGCGCTCCTTCAGGGTTTCCACAGGTATAAGGGACTATAAATGCACCTGTACGGGGACCTTCATCCATATTTTGTCCTTGTAGCCCGGAAAGAGCTTGTTGAGGGCGCCGCCGCCCCCGCCCCCCATTGTGTTGCGGGTTTACGTGGCGAGGGAAGTTGCGTTCTTTTGGCCCCTATTCGGTATTCCTGCCGTCGTCTAAGCAAAAAAACAAGGAAGATTCCAGCGGCTGCCATTAGGGCCCCACTTCATTCGCTAATTGGGCCTGTGCCCTGCTTGCCTATGCCCGTTACTCGTGGCTGCTTGGGGCTGTCAGCGAGCAGTTGCTGCAGCAGTTGCTCCTTCTGCCTTTTCGTTGCACACGACGTCAACTTCGTTTATTTATCGAATTTGATTTTGCTGTTGCTGTACAGAGGAACAAAAGATGGACGCTATGCATATATGCACACTGAAGCTACCCCTCCAGTGCGCGCAGTTAGGCCCTAGCAGCATTTCAAGATACGTTCAATTTCTACTGGAAGGAGTTACAGAGTTTCGAATAATTCAAAATATAGTTGCTCCTCCTGCTCTTTTTTGCAGAGCTACGGGGGCCCTGGCAGCAGCTGCTGGCAGCGTTTATCCGCAGAACAATACATTTCACTTTGTTGCCTTGCCTTGAGTTACTGAGTACATTTTTGGCGCCCCTTAGCCTTTTTCAGTGCTTGGTAACCCTAGCGTAATGTAAGATGGTTTAGAAAGGTGCTGAAGCGAGGACAAGCAAGAGAAACCACATGCATTCTAAGCATATACACGTATGTATAGACGGTACTTGCATATAAACAGTCGCGTTTATGTACATATTTGTGCTCATGCTTACATATACATATGCGGTACATACATATGCGTAAAAGGCAATGAAACATTGCGTGCATGTCTTCAAGCACATACATGCATTGACACTGAAGGTGCGAAGACTAGTACAGCGTGGCTCTGCACCTCCTTTTTGTACCTCCGAGCCCACCATCCTTTTTAAATAAAAGTTCTTGCCGCACGATGGCCAAAAAGAAGGCTCTTGTTATCTTCTTTGAGCTGCACGCCTCTGGGTCCAGTGGTCTGCACGGCCACGTAGAGCCTTAGCTACAACCTTGCAGCGCAGGTCCACTCAGCACGAAATAGTGCAACAAAACTCACAACAAACTGCATCACTGGCTCAGGCTAAGGAGAGGCCCCTCAGCTGCAGCTGGAGGAGCAGTGGGGGCCTTTCTTGGCTACAGAGCCCTCTGTTGCTGCGGAATCTACTCAAACAGCGCAGTACAATTCTGGCTACCTGCCACTTTCTGGGGCCTCCAGGCTTAGCCTGCTGAGTGAACAGCACAAAGAAATCTGCTGCGCTGCACCATGTTTGAGATGTTGCAGTTTGGACAGAACCTGTTGGAAAGACACTGATGCTTATTAAGGCGATACATCTCTTGAAAAGGTACTAATACTTATTTAGGCGATTTGCCTTGTGTGCATGACAGAGATCATTAGATCCTCAGATATAACTGCTGCAGCAGCAGTTGGCCCTGGGCAGCAGCTGCTGCAGCACCTTGCATGCGTGCACATACAAATGCATGCATGCTCGCACTTTTATATGCATGCATGCACGCACGCATGCAGCGGCACACAGAGCGTCCTCGGAGAGCTAAGAGGAACCAGCTGAGTTGCCGATGCTGCCTCGCTCTGCTGTGTGTGGTGCTTAACCAAGGCGACACACAGTCAAGGACTTCGTTTCGAGATTCTCCTTCTGTTTCGCATAAGGAATATTCTTTGTTAAAACGCAAGTAGCTCTGTTGCTCAGCTGCTGCTTTTGCCTCTCGGAAATTTATGACGCAGCGCACCTCGCGGAACCCGCGGGCACAGACACACAGCTAGCTGCAGCTAGCCACGGGCAGCTATCTGCAACAGCGCATGCAGAAAGCTTAAAATCTAGGCCAACACTGGTAATGAATAATGTTGTGTTTCTATCGTGGTGCTCAGTGGGCTACAGTTTCGTCAGGGGGGTCGGGATCTACAAAACAGCAGCTTCCAACTATTGTTTAGTTCCACTCTGCCGCCTCGCATGCCCGCCAGGCCACCACAAAAGCAGCAGCAGCAGCAGCAAGAGCAGCAGCAGCAAGAGCAAACCTCCTGCTGCGCAGTGGCCAGACGTTTCTCAAACGACATTGGAAAGGCGAGTGCAAGGAGATGCAGGGGGAAGAGAGAGATCAGACGGCAGAGCTGAAATAAACCGAATTGTGTATAAGATGGGAAAGAAGAAAAAGATAAAGGGATTTAAGAAGCAAATGCGTCGATATGAAATGGACAGCAAAGTGGTTGCTGCACTTCGAGCCTGCAGAGCACAGCTGTTTCCATCGCCTGGCGAAGGAGAAGCAACAAAGAATGGGCAAGAAGGCATACAGCCAGGGAGTGGAAATGGTCTTATTTGTTCAAAAAGAAACAAAATAAAGACATATTTACAAAACCACAGGAATACACTGCAGCCACGGGCCGCTAACGGCCCCACAGCGACTTCAGCAAACCGCCCAAACGGCGTCCCGTCGAAGTTCCAGTCTTCTTAGACAAGTCGGGAGGCTTAAGGGAGGAAATAGCCTGAAAAGAGCAGCAAAATGAGTCCCGAATCGTTGTTCTTGCTGCTGCTGCTGCTGCTCTGCTGCTGCTGCTGCTGCTGGTGCGGGTGTCTGCCTCTTAAAAGCCACGCGGAGAGCCGCATGCAGGCGCAGACTTACCAAGTCAAAGAGGTGAGGCTTGCAGGCGATCGGCTCAGCAGCAGGAAGCAACAAACGACCAACTGTTGAGTTCAGCTGCAGCACAAACAGCAGCACCAGCAGCAGTTAATGAACGGAAGCAGACAAAACCACTGCAGCAGCAGCAGCGGCAGGAGAGTCAGCTGTCAGAGTTGCTGCAGCAAGCCTTCAACCCCTCGAAGCAACAACCAGTGCAGCAGAAACGAACTCAAAGCAACAGCAGCAGCAGCAGCAGCGTGTACCTGCTTCTGTACAGACGTTTCTGCTGACTCTCCCATGGCTTCTCGAGTGGTTGCGGCGCAAGGCGCAGAGGACTGGAGGTTTTGTGTCTCTGCAGCAGCAGCAGTCGCAACAAAAGAAAATAAACAGCGGTTGCTGCAACAGTTCCAGCCGCAGCAGCAAGAGAAAATCGTTGTTGCTGCTGCCCCCATAGGCGCAGTTTGCATCGGTAACCGTCCAAGGGCTCGTAGCAAACCCTCTCTCAGCCCTAGACCCAAAACCCTAAGCCTCAAACCCTTCCCACGTGACACTAACTCAAACCATAAACCCAAATCTATAAACCCTAAACCCTAGGACCCGAAATTGCAGCTTACGACGGAGAAGGGCGCACAGGTAGCGGCACACGCGCTGCCCCACAGCGACGGCCGTGACCCTCTGTAGCAGCAAACACGCAGCACCGGAGAAGCAGCAGCAACAAATAAAGCAGCAGCGGCAGCAACGGCTGCTGCCAAAAAGAGCAGCAGCGACAGAAACAGCAGCAGGAGCAAGCGGGCTTCTTCCTACATAAATGGCGGCCAGCAGCAGATCGATGCGCTCGTGGGGATCTTCAGCAAGCTGCAGGCACGCCCAAGAAACACGAGCCACACAGCAGGCATAAGGCAGCGGCTGCAGCAGCACATGCAGCAGCTGCAACAGCAGCCGCAGCAGCACATCCAAGGCAAAAACAACAGTAACAGCTGCAATGCTGTAACCGCCAGCAGCTGCAAAAAAAAGAACAAGAAGTGACACTCTCCCTTCAGAACGCACTGCAGCGGTGACACCACCACACTAACAGCAGCAGCAGCAGCAGCAGCACTCTTACCTCGGGTTTCAGTGTCAGTGGAACCTGCCGCGTAGAGACAGCCCGTGCCAACACTGAGGACAGCACGACGCATACAGCACAAAGAGCACTGCAGCAGCAGCAGTAGCTGCAGCAGCAGATTCAGTATTAGTTGGCCAGTCGTGGTGGCACTTTCCGGAAGGTGTCAAGTATTTGCAGCTGCGCATCAGGAACATCTTCAGTTGCTGCTGTCGCTGCTGTTGTGCTGCAGCGCACCGAAAGCCTCAGCTAAACTCCCTCCACAGGCGATGGCCGTTGCCAAACACGTCGCTCTGCATGCAGCGCAGTGTACATACACCGCAGGGGGGTGCAGCAGCAGGCAGGTCACCAGCAGATGCACTAGAAGCAGAGCCTGCTGCTGCTACTGCTGCTGTTGTTTCTTCGCCTACTTGCTGTCTTTGGCAACCTGCACCCATCGCTGCAGCTGCGGCCCCCGGTCTTCGGGCAGCGTCTCTTCTCCTTGCATGCGTTCTAGCCCCTGCAGCAGCGGCAACAGCAGCAGCGACACAGAACAGCAGCTGCAGCACTAAGCAGCAGAACCTTCAGTTTAGCGACACAGGGCACCCCACAAAGCACCAGCGGCGAGAGCAGCAACAGCAGCAGCAGCCCTAACGTACCTGCAGCAAAAGGCTTGCAAAACGAAATCCTTCCTGCGCCCTTGCCAGCTCCCGACCTCCCTTCAGATCCGCTGCAGCAGCAGCAGCACCAACAGGGAAAGCAAATTAGACAGAGCACAGCAGTCCAGAAGCAGCAGCCGGAGAGCTTGACCTGAAGCAGCAGCAGCAGCACAACTAACCATCTGTAGCAGCAAGGCTGAGGAGGCACCGCAGCAGCATCAGCGCGTCCCGCTCGACTTCCAAACATCGACTCATATCCATGCAGAAACCTGCAGAAAGAGCAGCAGCAGCAGCAGCAGCAGCAGTGGTGGCGACTGCCAAGCATCACAGCAGCTGCCGCTGCAGCAGCAAACTTGCATGCCTTAAAGCGGAAGCAGCAGCAGCTGCTGCGTGTGAATGCGTCGGGGTACCTTGACACTGCAGCCATGACACCTCTTCAGGCTCCGCCTGCAGCAGCAGCAGCAGCAGCAGCAGAGGCATTGCAAACACAACAGTAGTGGCAGCAGACGGCAGCAAAGGCCGCCAACAGCAGCAGCAAACACAGCAGCCTATTAACTCACCATCAGCTCTCTGTGTATCAGCTCCACACAGCCACGAAACCGGGCTGACGCCTCGCCATACCTGCAGCAGCAACAGCAGCAGCGGCAGCAGCAGAACACGCAAATGTATTTCAGCGTTCAGGCTCTGGCAGCAGCCTGAGTTCAACAGCTGCGGCAGGAACACCCATAGCAGCAGCAGCAGCAGCAGCAGCGAGCGCACTGTTCCGCCCATCCCTGTGCATCCCTTTCCATGAGTGCTGGCGCTGCTGCCTTGATGTCTGCTGCTTCAGCAGCAGCAACTGCGCGCAGCGTTTCAACAGACAGCAGCTGCTGCTGCTCCCAGTTGGCGAGTGCTGCAGCAATTGCTGCTCTGGGCTTGTCCTTCTTGGGGCTAACTGGGGCGTCTCTCCACGTAGCTACGCCGCTGCTGCTGCTGCCGTCGGCAGCCGCTGCAGCAGCAGCTGCTGCTTGCTTCTTTCTGTCTGCTGCCCGCTGCTGCTGCTGCTGCAGCGCAGCAGCACGGATGTCGCCCGAGTGGAAGACACAAAGACGCAGCAGCGGGTCAAGGGCCTCCAGCTTTGCCTTGTAGAGCTTCTCGAGTTCTGGTTGCGTGCTGCTGAGGTGCTTCAGCTGCACGTAGACTTGCTGCAGCTGCTGCAGCGTGTTTGCTGCTGCTGTCCACTGCTCCTTTTCCTGCTGCAGGACAGACTCCATGAAGCAGCGGTAAGCCAGCGCGTCCAAACAGGTCTTTCCGTCGCACAGAGGGCCCCTTTCCTCCTCCTCTGCTGCTGCTGTTGGTGCTGCTGCATCCGCTGCCTCTCCAGCAGGACCTGCTGCTGCTGCTGCTGGTGCTTCTGAGGAGCTCTTGGGGGCCCCCCGGGGCCCCTTGCAGAGGGCCTCGAGCTGATGCGCATAAGAAACGGCTTTGGCGAAGCGGCGGATAGAGTGCGCCCGCAGCTTCGCGTTCTGCAGCAGCAGCAGCAGCAGCAGCAGCAACAGCACACACAGCAGCTACAGGGCTTGCACGCGGCGGCTGCAGCGGCAGTAGCAGCAGCAACGGTCAAAAGTCAAACACAGGAACGCTGCTGCCACTTGCTGCCGCTTGCTGCCGTCGCCGCTGGATGAAACAGTCGACACACACGGTAGGCAGCAGCAGCAACCACAACAGCCGCAGCAGCAACCGCAGCAGCAACAGCAGCCTCAGCAACAGCAGTCGATGCTGCAGCAGCATCAACGTACAGGCGTCACAGAGTTCGCATTGTCGCTCTTGAGCTGCATGCCGTACGCCCACGCCCGTTCAGCTTGCACTAGAAGCAGCAGCAAATACCTGCGGCAGCAGCAGCAGCAGCAGCATCTCCTCTGACAGCCGAGTAGCAGCAAGACACCTACAAACACAACAGACGTCAGCAACGGTGCCAGCAGCAAGGGCGGCAGCAGCAGCAACACCACTACCAGGGGCAACAGCAGCAGCAGCGTCACCACAGCGCGCAGCAGCAGCAGCAGCAGCAGCAGCATCACCACAAAGCGCAGCACCAGCAGACGCAGTTCCACTGCAAAGCGAGGCAGCAGCAGCAACAGGAGCACCGCCAGAAGGCGCAGCAGCAGCGCCGCCATGCAGTGCAACAGCAGCAGCAGCACCGCCCCAAGGCGCAGCAGCAGCGCCGCCACGCAGCGCAACAGCAGTAGCAGCGCCGCCCCAAGGCGCAGCAGCAGCGGCAGCAACAGCAGCAGCAGCAGGTTTGCGTGCCTTTCGTCCTGAATGTTGTCGGGGAGCGGCTTGGGGGTGTATCTGTGTCTGCCGTTTTTGGCGTCGAGCTGCTGCCGCAGGCGCCCGAGTTTGCGGCTGAGGTATTTTCTGTAGCGGCAGAAGTCCTGGTGTCGAAGTCCATTTTGTTCGCCCAGCAAGTGGGCAGTTTGGGTGATTTCGAGGGCCAGCGGCGCTGCTGCTGCTGCTGCTGCTGCTGCTGCGGAGGGGGAGGCCGGGGAGGCGCCCGAGCCGCCGGAAGCGGGAAGATCCCCTGCTGCCATTCTGGGGCGCTGTGTTGCTGCTGCTGCTGTGTCTACCGCCACTCAAGAGCACAGGACACTTGCAGCCGCTGCTGCTGCTCCTGCTGCTGCTCAGCCGGCTGCTGCTGCTCGTAGCGCAACACCACGACCTATTTCAAGAGCCTTTTTGAGCTAACTGATGCAGAAAACAATACAGACGCTCAGACAGAACCGATTTAGTTCCCTAGGCAGCACTCCCAGCGGCGCATGCAGCAGCAGTGGCGGCTGCCGCTGCTGCTGCCGCTGCTGCTGCTCTCGTTAGCAGCTGCTGACGAGAGGTACCAGCGAATGTGTACTTCAGTACAAAAAAACACATTTAAAAACAAGACAAGAGCAACAGAAGGGGCCCCACTGCGAGCCAGGCAGCAGGAGCAACTGCAGCAGTGAAGGCAGGAGCGCTGCAGCCTTACAGGCGATCCCGTGGCTGCCGCTCCGGCTGAATCACGAGGTAGTGGCTGCAGCAGCAAGAAGAGCGGCATCAGCTGCAGCAGCAGCCACACTAGAAGAATCAGCAGCAGCTGCAGCGGCAGCAGCTGGGGGCAAACCCTAGAAGCCCCCTCAGGCTTCTCACTTTCGACTCCGCGGCTCACTTCTTCATTCTCAAAGTGAGGCTGGTGCTGTTTGTTCTGCTGCTGGTGCTGCTGCTACGTTATTTGTTGCTGCTGGGGTCGCCGCTGCCGTTACTGTGGCTGGCGTGGCTGCTGCTGCCGAAGCAACAGCTGCAGCCGCTGCTGCCGCTGCTGCTGCTCCGTCATTGAAGACCCGCTGCCACTTGACCTGCGCCGCCTCCCTTGCAGCCGCAGCAGCAGCAGCATCAGCAGAGCTGCTGCAGTTCAGCCCCTCTTCTGCACGAGGCCTTATCCCTGCCGCTGCTGCTGCTGCTGCTGCTGCTCCTGCAGATGCCCCTCTGCGGGCGCCTGCTTGGGGCGCTGGGCAGCTTTGCTGCTGCTGGGGTTGGGGTCGTGGCGACTCCTGTGGACCGCCGGCAGCTAGCTGTCGAGACACTGCAGCAGGAGCTGCAGGCCCTCGAGAAAGAACTCAAGGACTGGTTTCTGGAGAGGAAGGTGGCCCTAGAGGTGAGCAGCAGGCCATCTTGCTGCTGCTGCTGCTGTTGCTGCTGCTGCTGTAGCTGATGCCGCTGCTGCCGTTGGTGCTGCTGCTGGAGCGAGCTGCGTTTCTCCCGCTTACATACAGGCCCCACTTGCTGCAGCAGCGGTAGCCGCAGCTGTGCTGCTCAGAGTTATCAGATGCCACAGCAGCAGCAGCAGCAGCAGCGGCAGCGGGAGCAGCCAGCGGCAGCAATAGTTGCAGGAATAGCAGTTTCAGCGGCAGCAGCAGCTACACAGCAGCGGCAGCAAAGGCAACTAGTAGGAGCAGCAACCGCAGCAGCCGCTGCTGCAGCAATACACTTTCGCTTCAGGCGACTGAGAGATGAGTGTGGCCGGCTTGTCACAGTGCCCCTGCTGCTGCTGCTGCTTCTGTTGCTGCTGCCGCTGCTGCAGCGTCACCGCGCTCTGCATGCGCTGCTGCGGCGGCACAACTTCGTGGGGCTGTCGGTGAATTGTAAGGATCTCCCAGACGCCCAGAGAGCCCTGTGGACAGACCTCGTGACTGGGGAGGCAAGCTGCTGCTGCTGCTGCTGCTTCTGCTGCTGCTGCTGCGGTTGCTGCTGCTGCGGCAGGTGCTGCTGCTCTTCCCCCCTGCTGCTGCTGCGGCGATCGGCACATGCAGCTATGGGTGATTTTTTGCTGCAGCCGAAGCTCGAGGACGCGCTCAGCGTAGACGCCCGGGAGATGAAGGTACTTTGCTGCTGCTGCTGCTGCAGCTGCTGCTGCTGCTACTGCGGTTGCTGCTGCGGCCTCTGCATTCACAGCAGCAGCAGCAGGTGCTGCTGCTGCTGTTGTTCATGCCACCACCGTTTCTTTTGATTGCTGCGAAGGGCCCAGTGGCGCTCCAGCAGGAAATTCTGGCTGCAGCTGTGTCTCATGTTTGCTGCTGCTGCTGCTGCTGCAGGCTGATATGTACATGAAAATGTTTAGAGAGGCGGCTGACTTGGAAAACCCTGTATGCGTTCCGGGTAGGCCTGCTGCTGCTGCTGCAGTTGCTGCTTTCGATCCATTATCCGTCCACGTGCATTTGCTGCTGCTGTTGCTGCTGTTGAAGCTTCCCTTCCTGCTGTTTGGTGCTGCAGGCGTGGCATATCTGCGTTGCCTGAAGGAGAACAAGATGGAAACACACGCAGTAAGCGGCTTTTGCATCTGCTGCTGCTGCTGCTGCTGCTTGTGTTGCTGTTGCTGCCGTCGCTGCTGCAGCTGTCGCTAGTGCTGCTGCTGCTGCATTTTCACCCCAGCTGCTGCGTAGGTACAGCTGAGTGTTGGCTGTGCTGCATTTCGCTGCTGCGCAAGTTTTTTATGTTGCTTCTTTTTGTGTGTTTGTGCTGTCGCTGCTGCTGCTGCTGCTGCTGTTGCTTCAGCGGCGCTCTGAGATATGCCGCTCGCAGTTTGAGGCTTTTGACTCCGCTAGGCAGGCCGTGCTGATGCAGCAGGCAAACGCCACTGAGTGCGTTAGGGTTTAGGGTTTGAGGTTTAGGGTTTAGGATTGGGGTCTAGGGTTTAGGGTTTAGAGTTTAGGGTTTAGGGTTTAGGGTTCTCTGGGTTGAGTTTCCTGCAGGAGGGCGATGGTGAAGCAGAACATTGCAGACCTCCGTGCTAAAGTATGGCTGGTGATGTTCTTGCTGCTGCTGACGTTGCTCCTGTTGCTGCTGCTGCGGCTGCTGCTTTTGCTGTTTAAGGAGCTGCTGTAGCTGGTGTGCTGTCTTCTGGCTCCCGCTGCTGCTGTTGCCGTTGCTGCTGCAGCTGCCTGTGGCTTCACCAGTGTAGCATGCTTCGCCTCATGCACTTCGTGGCCACGCATGGATTGCTGCTGCTGCTGTTGCTGCTGCTGCTGCAGTCTTTGTTCGAGCGCCGGCTGCACGTCCTCGCCCTGCTTGAGGCTGCAAACAGCACTGGCGAACAGTGAGGCAGCCTGGCTAATTTGCTGCTGCTGCTGCTTGCGGAGAAGCAGCAGCTGGTCGATTTGAGTCTGCTGCAGCAGCAGCAGCTGCTGCTATTGTTGCTGCTCCCGCAGAGCAGCGGCACTGCAGTTGCTAGTGCTGCTGCTGCTGGACCTGGGCGCAAGGCCGCACGAACTCCTGTTGCTGCCGCAGCTGCTTTTGCTGCTGCTGCTTTTGCTGCCGCTGCTAGCAGCGCGGCAGCAGCTATAACAACTTCTGATTAGGGGTTTGTCCTGAATTTAGTCGAGCAGCACAAGCTGCTCCGTCAGCGTGCGCAGCAGCCGCAGCTGCTGCAGCAGCCGCAGCTGCTGCAGCAGCCGCAGCTGCTGCAGCAGCCGCAGCTGCCGTCGCTGCTAATGCTACTGCAACAGCAGCAGCTGCTGCTACTGTTGCAGCAGCAACAGCAACCTGTAACTGGCTGTGCAGTTGAGCTCGAGAGTAAAACCTCCTGGCAGCAGCAGCTGCTGCTGCTTAGTTTTGTTCTGCTGCTGCAGCAGCTCGGTTGCAGTGTACTTACAGCTCAGAGCACCCACACTGAGACCGTCACCAGCGAAGCTGCAGCACAGCGCCGGCTTTGCTGTTGCTCTTGCAGCAGCAACGCGCTGGCTTTGCTGCTGCAGCACGGGCTTGTGTCTGCTGTTTAGTGGTTGAGTCAGCCCTCACTCGCTGCAGCTGCAGCTGCATGCGGCTACGCTGCTGCTGCTGCTGGCTGCTTTTCTCTCGGGGCCCCGAGGGCTCCTCAGCGCCCAAGTCAAAGCAGCACATTTGCTGCGAGCGCTGGAGCTTAAGGAAGACCCTAGCGGTCCGCAGCAGTTGCTGCACTAGCAGCAGACGCTGCAGCAGCAGCAACAACAGCAGCAGCCGCTGCAGCAGGCTGGGCGGCGCCGGCGTGCCGACTCCACCTAGCTCGTGTGTAATTTCCCCTGCCTTTCACTTTTTTTATTGCCCTTCTTTGTCTCTTTTTGCATTTTATTTCATTAATTGTACTTTATTTTCTCTTTCGACGCATGCAAGCTTCGCTGGACATCGCAGTTAGCCAATCAAATGAGGTGTACGTACACCTCACTGGGGTGACATTGTGCCTGCGCCGCAGACAGCAGCAGCAGCGGTCCAGCAAAGAGATTCCATAGCAGCAGTCTGCCAGGCACTGCAGCAACGTCAGCTCGTCTGGGGCAGCAGCGGAAGCCGCTGGATGTGCGACAGCAGCAGCAGCAGCAGCAGCTCCACTGTTCACGACGCAGCAGAGCCAGTAGCTGATTGCTGTGCAGTGCAGCGGCAGCAGCAGCGGCAGCAGCAGCAGCAGCAGCACCCCTTTCGATACACACGGAGGGCAGCGTAGCCGGCACTGACACGCCCTTGCAGTTCCCTGCAGCAGCAGACGCAACGCAGTTGCTGCAGCAGCCTCAGCTTTTGCGTTCACTGAGGTGTACGTACACCCCAGGTGCAGCTTCAGGAGTGGGCTCGCTGCGACGGCGGCGGAGTCGGGTGTACATACACCTCGCGAAACCGAGCTGTTGTTCCCCTCCCATATGCATTTAAAGGCCTCCTCAGTTCATTTGTAGTAGTGACAAATGGCTTTTTGCAACATGAAGGCCGAGGGTTTCACTCCTTTCGCGCAAGGTTTAGGGTTTAGGGTTTAGGGTTTAGGGTTTGGGGCTGGGGGCCCCACGAGGGTCTGCGCTGCATCGGTTGGGTTGGCGCGCACTAAAGAAGAAGGCAGCAGCTCAAGGCCTTTGCCTGGCGCCTCTTAATGTTTTCTTTGCTGCTTGTAACTCTCATTTAGTTGAACTCTTTAGCAGCAGCAGCAGCAGCAGCGGCTCAGCTGCAGTGCTGCTGCTGCACCGATCAGGAACACCCGTGACAACAGCACAGCGACAGCAGCAGCCAGGCAGCAGCAGCAGCAGCAGCGGCAGCTCCATTTTAGTCTCTCTGCCTCACCTGCCTCGCTATTCTTTCTCAGGCCCGGCACAAACGCAACTTGTACGCAAACTAGCTAGCAGCAGCAGCAGCAGTAGCAGCCGCAGCAGCAGCAGCAGCAGTAGCAGCAGCAGTGGCAGTAGTAAAGCATGCCTACGAATGAGACGCCGCCGCGGAAGCCCCAAACCCTTGCCTGCAGGTGCTGGAGCTCCA